AATATGTTCCATATCTCAAAAAGTCATATAAGCCACAATTTTAAAGAGATGAAATGAAAATAGAAAGCTAAGTTGCAGCATTTCCATCCTGCACCACATGGAACACCCGTCCCACAAGCAAACACCCTAGGGGTCCCTGGGGGTTAGGATCTCTAAGGACTGGGCAAGAATAAAGGGCTGACTAGGGAAACGGGGCCGCACAGAACTCTCAGGCACCTGAAACACTCGGCACCAACAGTTCTCTTTCCCCACTTGAAGCCCAGCAAAGTCGAATGAAATCTGGAATCTTTGCTCCGTGCTAACCTTAGCAAGAAAAAAAAAAAAAAAAGAACCCCCCCAAAACCCCAAACAAACAACAACCTTTTTTTAAATAGTGAGGTTATTTTTCTGATATGCCTGTTCTTTGTGGCAAATAACTGTAATGCCAGGGCATGGTTCCAAATTAGTCACTTGCTCCAACTTAAAAACACTTCAGTCCAGTATTTTGCTCCGACACGCCGGTATCAAGCGCATTTCCTCCGCAGATTCCTACAACAGCGTCTTCACATGAGGATTTGCAGGAAGACCAAGGATCAAATCTAAAAACAAGCCCAGCTAGAGCAGTCTGTCTGAGACCAGGAATGCCTGTCCAGCTTCTCCTTTCTGTATGTAATACTCCTTTCCTCACGTCTGAGTAATACACACTTCAAAAAGAATAAAGCACAGCTAGGAGAATGCAAAAATACACAATTTTAAAGAGGAGGAAGAGACAGTCATAGCCATCTCTCCAAATGCCACTTTCAAAGGCAAGCCACCACCCTGTGCTGGTCCAGGACGACTGGCTGCCTTCATGGACACTTTACGTGAGTACACATTTTGCTTGGGATCCACTAAACTTAGACAGCTCTGGGTTCCGTCTAGTTAAAACCAGCAACTGTTCACATGCAACGGTGTTAGTCATCTTGATGCTTAAAAGGAGGTTTATTATATAAAAGCAGACTAATCCAGATCATCTTAAAAATTTCTAGCGTAATTCCCCCAACATTATGAATTTCAAGAAGTAACGATACCAGCCTACCTATGATACTTAAGATTTAAAGGGTCTGGTCTTCACCCATCAAACAGCAAATTATTCTGAGTAACAAAGATTGTTTAAAACCAGCAAGTTCCAGGCATTCCTCTTTGAGTTTCTTCTCAGAGGCTCTACCACCCCCCACTAGTCAATCCTATGATAACCCCTCAAAGGGACACATCGGAGGCGATGCGGAAACCCACGCTGCTGAGTGCCCAGCACACAGCAGACGCATCTCACCACCGAGACTCTGCTCCACCTGCCCAACAGCCCTCAGGTAAACACTGTCACGAGCCTGTGTTAGTTAGTGACTGAGTCTAAGAAGCCTGGGGAGGTCAAGACGTCTTAAAGCTACTGAGGCGGGACAGGAGGCTCACACCCAGACGAACTCCAAAGTCCAAGTTCTGGCTCCAGGACCTCCTCTTCTGTGACTGGCTCATAGCTTTTACTCTGCACTGGAAAGCTGGACTTGTTTTATGCTGCATCTGCAAGGCCTCTCTGAAGACGTACTTACTGTTTCAGAACCCTGGCCATCCCTTCTTTCCCCTGCAAAGTCTCTTTTTATCACACGCACAGCTGTTATCTAGGCGACACAGCCCACAGGGGACAGAGAAGGCCCAAGGACTCTAAATTTCGAGAGCTGCATAAACAGCATATTGACATCGGCAAAACTGGAGGAATGTGATAACTTCAATGCCCATCAGCTACAAAACTGCTAGACAGACTTCCCACCACTGTGCAAAGGAGCCGACTCGGTCAACCCCCGGATATCACCCACTGAAAGGCATTACAATATTCCCAACCTAATCAATTCTCATGCCTTGGAGCAATAAACCCTGAGATCATTTATGTGGACAGCTTATTGAAAACACATCTTATTTTTCAGAAGTTGTTATCATAAACACAAAAATGCATACTTTAAAAAACACTACCTTTACTTAAGAAATCTCAAGATACAAGTCGTGTGTTTAATCTAAAACAAGAGCCCAGTTTCATAAGCTGCTGTTTAATCAGTAGCTGAGTCCCACTGGCTTCGCCGATTTCCGTGAGGTCCTTTATCTGGCACTGCTGAAAGCTTCCTCTGTCCTCCGTGACCTAATATGCCACAGAACAACAGACAGGGTTTCCTCATCTAACTGCTACTGACGCCGATCAACTGCGGGCCGAGAGGGATGCCTTCACACTGCTGAAATCTTCCTGTGCGATGTGGCTGGAGCTTCTAATAAAAGGCACACACACGTTTTCTAAGAGAGGAACAATCTGACAACTATGACCTGTGGAAAAGCATGTCTTAACTGCAACCTTAGTGTGGCCATTTAACTGTGTGAAAATAGTGGGCTTCCTCTGCGTAAGCTTCCTAGTGAGGGTCAGCCAGCACTCAGTCTGCGTAACAAGGGCCCTTGAGCAGATTCTCAGGAAAGGAGGCTTCCAGGGAGGAAGGGAACTTCCATCCAGGAAGGGGACTCCCAGAGAGAGGCCCAAAATAAAGTTCAACCAAGAAATGCCTTCTTGACTCTAATGGGCAAAGGCAATACACATGTTTACAAAGTTTTATTATGATTAAATGGGTGAACACTTGTTTCAACTTCTAAACATAGAAATAATATTGGGTGACAAAAAAAAGAAAACAACCCTTGGATAAATGAATTTCAACTTAAATGATAAATTTTAGTAAACTGCTTCATCTCTTTCCCCATGCAAATGGGCTGGCAAAGAAAAATTCAAATATTTTTTTCCGACCTGGTTTCAAGAAGCCATCCTCTCTCCGAAGCACTATTAACCAACCGGTTTGCACTTTAAGTAGCAAGAATAGGGCCAAGGAGGCAAAAAAAAAACCCTGTGCAATGCTCTACCCTAATTTGACAACGGCCAGCACTTCCTTCACATGGAGGACCCGCCCCCAGATCATGAGAGGCCTGAACTTGTACTGCTCTTCTGCCTCCCCTGTATGTTTACAGGAGCTCCTTCTTCTTCACCAGGGAGCTCACTTACCAGGACTTGCTCAGTTTTCCTTATTTTCCTGGGTCTAGAACCCACCTCTGCTACCAGGATTAACAATCTCTCCTAGATGGAAACACAAACCCCCAAACCTATGTGCAATTGTGCATCTTTTCCACAGAATTTAATTCTATTTATCTGTCATTCACAAGCCACTTGTCTAACTATACACTTTCCTAGCAACAGAATGTGAAGGGAAAATATGCAAAAAGCTGCTATAAATCACCAAATATTTACTTATGCTTTACGTATTTCAAGATTTGATATTCCTCCTTGTGGGTTAATGTTCCCAATTGTCTCCCGGCCCTCGGGTCTCGTCACCTCGGTGCGCAACAGCGACAGAGCGGAAGGAGAAGCACGCTACGGAGTTTGCAGGAAGGCACACCTCTGCAGGTTCCCACACGGAGTCTTTTCCAAAATACGTAAATATTTGACTGAGTGCAAAGTCATCTGGAAACTTCTTGAATCCCTTCTACTTGTTATCCACTATCCTGCTCCAAGGCTAATGTTCAAGTTCGCCATCAGTAACTTTCAACATGACCACTGCCACCTTTCCGTGCAGTCCTTTGGAACCTCCCAGATACTTTCTGGGACTCTTACTGGGCTGCCTATACACTTCTAATAACACTCTCCTTATCTATGAGATCAGAAAACAGATTTCACCTTACAAATATTTGATCCCAGGCAGTGCCAGAAACCTAGCAACAGAGTCTATGGCACAATGATAAGTGCTCCTCAACTAAAGGACGCTCAATGACATGACCTGGTGTGTAGCTCTGGAAATAACTACAAACAGCTTCCATTGCAGATACGGTTGAAAAATATGCCTTTTCTGGGGACAGCAGCTTCCACATTCTGTACCCAATTAACATCGTTCTAAAATACTCCTTGACTTCCAGAGTGTTCCCGAACAGTTACAAGACTTGAGTCACACAACCAAGGGGATCTCAGACCTGGATTTAGTTATGCTCTGCCTACAATTCAGCTGTCACCTTGGGTAGGTCCATTGAACCCCACCCCAGCCTCAGTGTCTTCCAGTGAAAAATAAAGAAATTGGACTAAATTCTGTTTACAGTCGATTGCAACTCAAAAATTCTATGAATATATAAAATTGCAATCCTTTCATTTCAAAGGTAAGCAGTAAATGGTTAACAACAAATTAGCCTCGATTTCTCTCCTTTAAGAAAAAAAAAATGAGCCAACTTGGAGTGCTTTCAGGGGTTGCTGTTTTTATCTAGGAAAATAAATTGCAAATGAAAATGATACCGATAAAGTGGGAAGAATGAAAGAAAATCACAGACTTAGCTAAAACATAAATTTCAATCCCCTTGGGCCATTTTGTCAATAGTTATTCAAAGGCTGATGCTCTCTAATCACTGGCTTCCTAAAATAGGAATATTTATAGAGTCGTTTCCTTCTCGTCCCCAGAGAGTCAACCCGAATGAACAGCACGGCGTCTACCATCAATTCGTAACTTCGGGACAAGTTGCAGAGACCGAAGGGAGAAACTCCGCAGAGCTCGCCAACCCTCGGCGTTTCAGGACGAGGAGGGCGAAGAAACCGTTCTTAGTAGAAGATGTGAGGGGCTCACCCGGGGCAGGTGACATCTGGGAAGCGAAGCAGAACTGCCAGGGAGGGACGTGGCCTGAGGACCTTCAGGCAACAGGTCTAGGGCCAGCACCGCAGTCCTACCCGGGAGGGGTCGGTCGCCGCCACCCCGCTCGCCGCCCTCCCGGCCCGACCGCATCGCCTCGCCCCCGCCTCCGCCCCAGAGAGGCAGCCCGCCCCTGCGGCACAAACCTCCCTAATTGCTCGCTTCCCCGGGCCTCGCGCCCCACAGGCCCTCCGATTCCCCCGCGCCGAGGCCGGACCCCGCCTGCTGCCTCCGCCGCGGTCACGGCGGTCCGGCGGCCGGGTCCCCGCAGCCCCGTCCGCACCGGGGGCCCCTCACCTGCACCTGTTCGCGGAAGTGGCGTGGCCCGAGCACTGCCCGCGGCCAGGACCAGCAACAGCAGCAACGCCGGGGGCCCCGGCATCTCGCCCACGGCACCGCCCCGGGGCCGGCTCTCGGGGTCGCCTTCCGTCAGTCTGTCTGTCAGTCGCTCTTGGCTCCCGACACTGCCTCAGCGGCACCCGCGCCGGCTGCTCCTGAGCGCGCGTCGCTCCGACCAAACCTCAGCCCGGTTCCTGGTCCGCACCCGCCGCTCCGGCCGCGGAAACACCATCCTTCCCGCCCGCCCGACCGCGCCGCCCGCGCCGCCGCCGCCGCCGCCTCTCAACAGCAGCAACGGCAGCAGCCCTGCGGAACCGCGGGCCAGGGCTGCCGCGCTCCCGCCGCCATGATGGGCTGCGTCATGTGACGTAGAACGGGGGCGGGAGGCCGTGATGGACAGCCCATCTAGCCAATCGTAAGTTCCGCAGTCCCGGGAGGCTCCGCCCATTAACCTGGCGGAGGGAGGGTGTTTGCGTTTGCGCCCCCTGCAGACAGAAAAGTGTGTGGGCAGCAGGTAATACCAGCAATTATTGTAAATTTTTAAAATTCAGGGAAGTATAAAGAAGACAATAAAAAACTTCCAGAATCTATCCTGAATTTTTTCTGAGTATTTTTAAACATGTTTTGTCCTCTGACTTTTTCTTACCATTTTAGGCTCCTCTCCTTAGGTTGACCGACACATCCTTTCAGCCACCAGGAACTTTGGGTGTTTTATTTCACCAAGAATATAATCCCTCCCCTCACACCCACTGACTCAGCTCCTGAGCTCAAGCCATTCCCTTTGCCAGGAGTGCCCTTCCTGTCCTGGCCAGGCCACCACCTGGCACCCTCCCTTGGGTCAGGACACACCTGAAGGATGACGTCACGGAAGGAGGCTGCTCCCCAAGCCCAGGAGAAATGACTAACATCCCTTAGTGCCCCGGCCCCGCCCCGGACAGACTGCTATTCCCAGACGCCATATTTCATTGTTCCAGTGACTGTCAGCTCCCTGAGGACAAGAACTGTGCCCACGTCAGCTGGGGTTCCCCAGGGGCTGACTCAAGGCCTGGCTCCCAGTACTTCTCTAAAAGAGGAGTGTCTGGTCCTGGCCCTGGGTGCCAGAGGGGAGCAGCTCCCAGGGGCCACCCTCTCCCCACCGAGAGACAAGGCCCAACCAACAGGGGGAAAGGGCAGAGAAAGCACTTTGCAGGCAGAAGCAACGTTCTGATGAGAGGCCTGGAGGTTGGGAAAGTGTTAGGCTTCTCTGGAAAACACACGGGAGCCCAGTTTGTGCGTGAGAGGAACTGATTTGAATCGTGTCAGTTGGGGCACTACCAGCTGGTAGCAGGAAAGCCTCCCCAATTCTCCAAACTCCTCAAATGTCTGTCCTAGACGCCGCCAGCTCTCGGTGGTGCTGACCCAGCGCCGGACACGCAGACTATATGCCCAGGGAATGTTTGGTGAACGATCACGGCAAGCTCACAAACCCCTAAGAAAAGCCATGGCTGGAATGTGAAGGGCTGAGTGAAAGCTGCCACGGCTATCTGCTGATCTCTCTGTGAGAACGGGAAGGGAGGCAAAGGTCTGGGAAAGAGACACAATCGCCCTGTTGTGCTTCAACACCTGTCAGGAAGCCCAGACGCAGAGTCCGAGGAAGACAGGGAACGCTCTGGCCGTAGACCGGGAGGGGCCCCCATGTTTGTTGGCTGCTCACCCTAATTAAAGAACATCCCAAGAAGAACACGTCAGATCACAGTCCCAAAGCAGGTTTCAATGTTACTTGAGCAAGCCCAACAATTGTTTTTGTTTTGTTTTGTTTTGTTTTAACTTGCTCTCCCACTTCACAGAGCAGGGGTCAAGGTGCACATTCCCCAGAGGTGTCTAATGGCAACCTTCACCGCACCACCCAGCTCACCACTCACACCTCTGCCCTGTGCTTCGCTCGAAGACTCCCAGAACTTGCAAAACCAGCGGAAACCTGCGCACTTTGTCTAGTTTCACGGGGGAATCAGAAAACAGCCTTTGGCACAAACTGGTGATGAAATCCAGAACTGCAGGCGCTTCGAGGTCTCATGCCGCGTGTGGTTGTTCTCTGTGTGTTCAGGGTATTTGCCTCTGTGATGGGAAGCGCTGTGGTAGATACTTGGTGGCCGCATAGCTCTTCCCAACACCAACTGCTGTGCTGTTACGTCTGTAGCTTGAAATAAGCCGCGGTGTGAGTGTTTCTTGACACCATGGAAACTGGCAAACGGTACCGATGGGGACTCTTCTCCTCCCAGAGAGCCGTCTGTTCTGCTCACGGTGGCTTTGGCGGTGGGGTACCCTCCACGGCGCCTCCACGTGGCCCCTCCCTGACTTGAATACTTTTTGTGGTTGCCTTGCTTTGCTTCACCCTCAGGCGAATAAGGAGACCACACAGATTGGAAGTCAGACTTTCCTAGTTCTCTGCCGATCAAACAAAAGCCACATAGCTCATCCCAGCTCCCCTCCTAAATGCGTTTGTATCAAGTCCTCCCCTTTTGTTGCCTTCTAGACCTTCTGTCTAAAACCGTCTTGAGTCAAGGACAGCTCACCAGGTGTGTTTGCCCTTCAGAGCCCTGAGCCACTTCCCATTTTGGGGGATCACCTAATATGATAAAAGTATGGATGAATGAGTGAGAGAATGGACGAAAGAACAGAAATAAGAAACGCTGAAGCAAGACTCCAATAAATGCCCAAGTTTAAGTCTAACAAATTCACCCTTTTAATGTACTGCATACTGTATAATGTAACGGAATGATGCTATCCACAACATAATTTCAGGATCCATAAAAAGTGCACAACAGACAGATTCAGCGATGGGATTGTACTTTGAACTGTATCATGAACATTTTTTCCAAGCTTATCAGTGTGTATGCCCTCATTTGGAGATGAGTTTTATTTGGCTTAAAAATCACTTTCTACATGTCGGGCACTGCTCTAACCACTTTATAAGTGACAACTCTTTAAACTTTACCTAATCATAATATATTTTCTTCATTCCTAAAGCAAACTCCATAACTATCAGCAGTCACTCCCCACGCCCCCCTCCCCTGAGCCCCTGTCAACCACTAGCCATGTATTGTCTCTCTGGACTTACCTAACCTGGACACCTCCCATAAATGGAATTATACAATTCGTGGTTTTTCATGACTGGTCTAAGCTACTGTTCCCATTTTACAGGTGAGGAAACTGAGAAACAGAGGTCAAGTGCTTTGGCCAAGGTCACATGGCACAGGTGGGATCCAAACTCAGGCCAGATGGCTCCAGAGTCCTGCACTGAGGGATGTCAAAGCATGTATTGAAGGCCTTTTGTGAATCCCAGGTCGCATGTACTTCCGTTAGGTGGGAGGCCCTAACAGGAGTTGCCTTCCACTGGGGACAGAGGTGGGGACCAGAGAAGAGTGGAGGTGGGGAAGCAAATACTGCCCTGAAGGCAGTAGTTGCTCAACAAAGGACGTTTTTCCATCATGAAAGACAGAATCTCCTCTCGGAATGGAAGCTTGAATCGCCTCCTTGCCTCCTTCCCTTTGGCCTGGCCGGCAGCTGAATCCCTTCCCTCTTGAGAAAGCCCCTGACATGAATCTTGAGAGTTGAAGATGACGGCCACTCTGAAGACTAGGGGTCAGACAAGCCCCCTGGGCCTGGTGACTGGCCTTTCAAGTCTGCACTGGTGCCGGCCAATGCCTCATCCCTGCACACGGTTCCCAAGGTGCGGCCTGGTGACCTGCCCACTGCCCAGCCCCCTCGGTGGCTACTTATGTCCTAAGCCCAGCGCCCAGCTCCTCTGTGGTGGTCCACGAGCTCCAGCCACTTTGCTGACCTGCCCAGCCTCTCAAGGATCGGAGGATGCCCGCAACCCACGCAGGCACTTCAAGCTTCTGCAAAGACTCTTGGCCAGATCCCAGTGCGCGCAGCCGGCTCCGTGGGGGCTGCTCCTGAACCCGGCACTCGGGCGTCCACGGAGCTTCAGCTGTGTGTCAACCACTGTGCTGGGCGCTGGAGACGCCGTGGTGGACAGGACAGAAGTCGTCCTTGCCCTCCTGGCACTGGCGCTGTCGGGCCCAGAAATTGCACAGCCCGTGACACGACTCATTGTGAATGCACAGCTGCGAGGGTGCGAGGTTGTGAAGTGCGTGTGCGATGCAGCTGATGCAGCCCGGGGACCCAGGAAGTCTTCTTTCCAGCGGGGGGCGGGGGGTGACGCATAAGCAAGGACCCCAAGGACAAAGAGGAGGCACTTTCACAAAGGGATGGAAAAGGCGCGTGGGCTTTAACGTTCAATCGCTGCTGTTTCCGAGTGGAGGCCGTCGCTGCCTGACAGAAGAATAGTGTAAGTCTAGCAGGGCTGGGCGGGGGTCGGACAGCCTGGTGAGGATCTCGGGGGCTGGGCTGACACGAAGAATGGCTGGGCCAGGCCCCGATGCCTCCCATCCCTCCTCTGGGGGTCAGGTAGGGGAGCTTTATTTCCATTTCTGCCTGCAGGGCAAACCCTCACAGTCCACACAGCGGCACCTTCCTGCACATCGTCACTTCCTTCCCTCTGCGTATGTGCCTTTCACTGGAGCTAGGCTCCTGGCCGCCCCTCAGACACCCCCGCACAGCTCCCGCCTCAGGACCCCTTGCTGGCTGGCCCCTTGGCCTGGAATGGGCCTCCCCCCACCCCCGCCCCATCTCTGCTTGTTGGCTCCCTTAGGTCCAAATATCCTCAGAGGGGCCTCGCTGGCCACCCATCCCAGTCGGACCTCTCTCTACTAGGCGTCTTCTTTGCTCTGAGCACTTTCCTCTCTGCCTGTCCCCCTCCATCAGAATGGGGAGCCCCGCCGCTAGAAGGGGCTGGCGCCAGCGGGACCTCAGGCAGCCACCGGTGAGAGGTCGTGGGGTCACAGAGTGCCAGGACCCAGGTGGGCTGATGCCCACGCGTCTGGCCAGTGCCCCCCACAGAGCCCGCAGCGTGCGTCCAGGGAAGGGTACGTGTTCCGGTCACATCTGCGCCTCGCCAATCACTCGACGGCAACTTCAACAGACAGAGAAGGTGGCTGCGGTGTGCTGGGCCGCATTCCCGGCTCGGAGCAAACGAGAAGATGAGGTCCCAGTTCTCGGGGAGCGGTGTTCTGGGACAGGGAGAGCCAAGACTGTTTTGGAAAATGCTGCCTGGCTCAGTGTCCTACCAGCCACAAGACCCTTGCCCCAAGCTTGTAAAACCGAGGCCGGCTAACAGGGGAGCCTGCTGTGCCAGTCCCCGCGGGCCAGCTGGGGCAGGCCGGGCGGCGGGTGCCGGGCGGCCTGCCTGTGCAGGTGGGAATTTCACCAGGGTGGGGCTGGCACGTGGGCCCAGGGCGGCTGGGCAGGGCAGGCAG